CGGCCGTGGGGCTCTGCCCGTCACTGGTGACCCGCGGTGCCTCGGGAGTGCTGGGCTTGGCCAGGCTGCCCTGCAAGGGGAGCAGAAAGCCACCACTTGGAGGGAGCTGGCAGGTCCTGTCCAGACCAGAGGATTTCACGGGGGCCCTGGGGTGTGCAGGGAGCAGAGGGGTTCACGTATGTGTGTGGGAAGAAATCCGGAGGGCAGCCGGGAGCTCTGGGATTTTGGCATAGCCCAGGCAAGGGGTTCCCTCCACAGCACCGGGTGGGAGAGCAGGATCAGTGGGGACAGCAACAACGCCCACCACAGTGCTCTCAGACATGCTCCAAGGAGCCTGAAATGGCTCATGTGAGAACAGAATCATCACAAAAGAGGGCACGGGGGAGCAGGAACCCAGCAGGTGGGGTTCAGCACTCACCACGATGGGGATCCAGATGGCCAGCTCCTGCCCTTTGGCTTTGGCACGCTGGAGGTTTTGGGTGGTTTGCTGATAAGCAAGGTGGGAGGCGGTGTTGACCAAGGCACCGATACGGCCCAGGGTGCTGGGAGCACTGGGCTGCTGCTGGGAGACCTTTGCTGCTGACCCACGTTTCTCTTTGGGTTTCTGATCTAAAGGCAGAGGATCACAGGCACAAGAGTGGTGGTGGGTTTACATCCTGGTGAGGCAACCCTCCTAGGGAGCCCTATGGCAAAATCCAGGGTCTTCCTCCTGCCATGTGCACCCCAGGAGTGAGATACCACCCCACGTACAGCCAGCCCTCACCAGACACCCTCAGACAGGATTTGGGCATCAAGACTACCTGCTTCCTCATCCTCCTCTGGTAGCAGGTACTCCATCAGCTTCTCCAGCCCCCCCAGGGCCGTGTCAACCCCTGCAGCTGCCATCTGGCTCACAGAGTTCCTCCTCGTGTACTTGGCTGTTGTTTCCACCGTGCTCTTGGTGGCCTCATAGCCCTCAGCTGCCAGCTCCATGATCTTATCCACAGAGTTGCCAATGGTGCTTTTGGCACTTTGGAGCGGGGAGGAGATGGTGCCCTTCAGTTCAGATGCGAGCTGCGGGTGGAGAGATGGAGAACAGACCCGACAGTGTGCTTGGGGCAGCAGCTGGAGGGTCCACGGGGACCCCAGCCATGGCCATGCCAGTAGACAGTCCTGAGAAGGGCTTAACAGCTCTCTCCAGCTCGGGCTGGAGGTGGCTGGCAGGGATGGGACACAGGAAGCTGTTGCTTTGTATTTGGAAGTGCCTCACCCATCTCTTGGGCTGCAGGAGGCCCTGGAAGAGCCCTTGCTTGGAGGTGCTGCCTTGTTTCCCCCCAGCAGCCCATCACCATTCAGAAACAGGACCAGAGATGTGCTGTGGGCTCTGCAAGGGGGCCGGGGGGCGTCCCAGATTGTCCCGCCTGTGACTTACCTTGTCAACAGGGTACTGGAGGGCAGGGATCTTCT